TATACTCTTATCCATGTCCCTACCGATGCTGATCTTCCCAATGAAGCTCAGCTGAAGGAGAAGTTTGAGAAAGGTAAGGATTTATCAAAATAATCGCACACTTATTGTGCTCTTTCGAGTTGCTATTACAAATGATTGTAGGCAGTGATAAGGAAAAGACAGATGCGCTGAAAAAGTTGATCTACATGATACAAAATGGCGAAAAAGTTGGGCAAGGGATGCTTATGTATGTCATCAGATTTCTCCTTCCCTCTAGCGATCACACATTGAAGAAGACCTTGCTGATTTTTTGGGAAGTCGTGCCAAAGGTAATATTAATTCTTTTAACAATAGCTGCCGAAAGTAATCTGTTAGCTCTTAGACTAATGCTCAAGGAAAACTACTCCAAGAAATGATTCTTGTTTGCGACGCTTATAGGAAAGACCTTCAACATCCTAATGAGTTTGTCCGAGGTTCGACCCTCAGGTGAGTCGTCACTGGAGATGTCTTAACTTATCGATTCTTGTGTTCATAAGGATTCGGTTACTCTCTGGGTTCAATTGAGTGGGCCTGATTTTTCCTATGTAGTATGTGTGGCGCAATACGCAGTTTTGTGAACGACTTTTTTGACTGCTACCGATCATTTCTCGCTCGGAGGACGGGTTCAACCCAAGCTTTTACATTCATGCAAAGCTACAAAACCTTTCATAATTGTACTGGTCCTATCGCATCTGTTGTGGTCCATAAGTATAACCATCATTGTTTTCAGATTCTTATGTAAGCTGAAAGAGCCTGAGTTGCTGGAGCCACTAATGCCTTCGATAATTGGATGTCTGGAGCACCGCCATTCTTATGTGCGTAGAAATGCTGTCTGTGCCATCTTCACCATCTACCGTGAGTGAATGCCACAATTACTTCTTTATGAATGGTATGGAGTCAAGGGTCAATACGTTCCCAAGTTCGAGAGTTATTACTAGACAATTGTAAGAAGCAAGCGTGCTGAAGTTCAACAGCGACGAAGTTTTGTGGGAAAGGGGGAAGTAGAACATGATATTTCTCAATATAAGGTGAATTCTCCACATTTTGTCAGCTATTCAGTATTAATTATACTGATGTCGTTGGATGTGGTCTTAACAAACTTCTTTATTATTTTCGATATATTTTACAATTTTTTGTGTAATTTCGTCATAAGCTTTCCAGGCAATTTCGAATTCCTCATTCCCGATGCCCCTGAATTGGTGTCGAATTTTTTGGAAGGCGAGCAAGACGCTTCATGTAAACGAAATGCATTCATGATGCTCTTGCACGTAGATCAAGCTCGTGCCCTTGATTACTTATCCGGTGGGTTTCCTTGTTTGTTTCCCTATATTGTTCTTAATGAGCTGCCAGTATTTTCCAACAGTCGTTCACAGCTTTTGTCCATATGCATAACGCTTTCCAAAGGCGGTTTGCCTAATTGTCCCATGGTTCTTCTCCGTCATTTTCCCTTAGTTTCCCCTTGCACTGGTTTTCATCGATTTCAGGTTGTATCGACCAAGTTGCACAGTTCGGCGACATCTTGCAATTGATCATTGTGGAACTTATATACAAGGTAAGTGAAATTTGTACCTGGCTCAGGCTCAAAGGAGCAGAGCTTACCCTTCCTTTTTCATCCACTTTTCTTTGTCTAGCCAAATTTTACTCAGCTGTCTCTCTCTCGATGTAATTTCTAAATCAAAGGCACGTAGATGCGTTTCCGAATAATAAACTCTCGAGTTTTCCGAAAATCAGTTGAAAATTTTGAGGTTTGCCACGCCAACCCCGCTGAAAGGTCGCGTTTCATACGATGTGTCTATAA